TAAGACATAGGATACGCTTCAGCATTTTATTTTGGTAGCAAGTTGTATTTGTTTTTTCTCCTTCTTTATATTCTAGAATGATGATGTTTATATTGATGTGTACTGTTCTACATTACTGTTTTACTGGGACTATATGATTTAGGCCTACATAGGTAAGTTAGCATAAGTCATGACAAACAAAATGGAAACTTGACAAGTCTCCATCCTGGCCCCAGGCCCGGTTGTGTAACCCATGACTCATACCTACCTCTCCTATGTAACTTGGTTCCTGAATGAATGGGGATGAATGTGGGTGCTTGAGAGACAGTGGCAGTAGGTCTAAAAATAGCTCCCTCTGAATGACGGAACCATCAACACCAATACCTTGGACCCAGCCCTTGGAACCAGCCTCAGCATTCAAGAAACAAGAGATGAGGCAACCCACCATTGTGCCAGGCTGCACATGCTCAGTAAGAACACCTGGAATCCTCTGGGACAGGACTGACTTTTCCTGGACAGGCCCTCCCCATAGAAGATCAGAGGTAGTCTGCCCCATAAAGGGGGTAGTGAAAACTGACTTCTTGGGATGCCCTCTCCACCTGGACCAGCACCATGCCACACCATCTATTCACCCAGAGGCCCTGCTGGCGATCCCACTCTATACAAAACCTACTGCCAGCCTGGATAGGTAGCTATCACCCCCTCACCCTCTCTTCAACCAAGGACTTGGACTCTTCTTCTCTTCCCTACCTGGACTCTAGCCCTTCCACTAAGTCTTTCTCCTGCTGCCATTGTGAGTGCGTGTGCACCAGTAACTTCATGGGGCTGTGGAGTGTGTTGTCTGTTTAATAAAACTGTTATTTGGACCCCTGCGTTGGGTTTGCTTTACTACAGTTCTGACCCTGCTCCAATCTCTGCTCCTCTAACTTCTGGCTCATCCCCACTGCCTTTTCCCCTGATCTCTGCCACCATTTTCACCTCATCCCCACTGCCTTTTGCCTTTGTTTCCTGGCTGTTTCCTCCTGGCTTCTTCCCCCACCCCACCTTGCTTCCACCCTGACCCCAGGTGACCCCGAGTAACCCCACGGCCACTTGATCTTAAGTAAACCCAAGCCTCTGTTCCTTAGCCAGCTTCTCTCTAGTTCACTGGTTCTAATCCCAGTTCTGGCAACTTTCACTTCCTACACTTTAACTCTCTCTCACCTTAACCTTCCCCCAAGTATCCCAGGTACCCCAAGCACACACATACATACCGTACCATCCAAGTTAGGAGCTTACTTGTGTGTATGTGTAGGGGGGTTGTATGCGTCTGAACTGGTGAGCATGTGTGTATATATGTCATTCTGTGCATAATATATGAATTAGTGATCTGTGTATGTGTACTGAGTGTGCGGGTATGGACAATTGATTTTTGTCTAACTTTTGGGGTGTAGAGTGTATGTGCTTGAATTGGTGATAGGTATGCATGTGCCTAGGCTACTTTGGATGTGTATGTACCCGAGTTGGGAGATATGTGTGTGTGTACCTAATTGATTTGTGTGTTTGTATATGTGCAATTGTGTCACACCCTCCTGTCCAACAGCACAATATTGAGATCCTGAGAGTTGGCCTGACTCCTCAGGGCAACAATGGCAGGTCAGCTGAGGAAGAAACCTCTGGTGAGGAGGTCACTCCAGGCACAGAATGGGCTGAGGGAGGCAAGTTGACCCGGAAGAAGAGACGCCGGGTACTCGCCATAGGTGACTCCATCCTGAGAGGAACAGAGGGTCCCATCTGTCGCCAGGATCCCATGACACGCGAGGTCTACTGTCTGCCTGGAGCGTGAATTCAGAATGTGACAGAGATGATCCCGGCACTCATCCAGCCCACTGATTACTACCCCATGGTCCTAGTCCATGTAGGAACTAATCATGCAGCTGGGAGCAGTCCAGATCACCGAGACCAGTCAGCACCAGAATGAACCAGCATAGGAATGAGTTAAAGGTCAGAGACCCCCAAACCCAAGCAAAAGAACAGTTAGCACAGAGCAGCCACGACTTCCTGACCTCACCGCCCAGGATGCAGGGCAAATCTATAGAGCCTGCAGCAAACCAGACTGGGGACAGAAACCCATCACTTTGCTGGGCCCAGAACACAGACACTGGTTTTAGGGCTCATTACATCCACCTGCTCCTTGTACCCACCTCTCTGCACTGCACAGGCAATCAGGGCCCCTGTTCCCCTGCAAATGGCCTCACTCTTCCACAGACTTCCATTCTTGTCTTAAAGCTGCTCTTTATCACCTCTCTCTGCTCCTACTTCAAATCCATCTTCCATTTTAAAATGCCTTTTCATACACATGGAGTTAAACACAAGCTATTTTTCTTTACAGACAAACACGTGCTTACAATGTCAGTCCCAGCTCATCTCTCCTCTTACCCCAGTGTCCTGCACTCAGGGTTTTACCATGAGCTTACCCTGGTGTCTTAGCCAGAACCAGGCTATGCCTTAAAAGACCTGACAGTGCAGCCTGGGCTGGGCTGTCTGGAGCCTCCTACATCCGCGGGCCAGGCCCTTCCAGTCCCAACACTCCCCTTACTGCTCTGAGAGGCCCCTCCCAAAGATTTTCAGGACACAGGGCTCCATGCAGGAAGCATTCCCAACCCAGGACAGGGAGAGGATCCATGGTAGCGTCCACATCGGCTTCCCAAGAACCTGTAATTTAGGGAGGGCCAGAGGATGGCAACTTTGGCTTTGTGTCGTGCAGTTAGACACAGGGCATCATCTGCCTGGCAGCAAGATGGCATTCAGCCTGCAACCTGGGAATGCTCCCTGACCCCCACAGCCTGGACAGGGGGAGGCCAGAGTCCAGTGGTAGGGTCTGGAGGAAACAGGATTCCCAGGGGCTGGGGGAAGCAGACATACAGAGAGAGCGAGCGAGCGAGCGAGCGAGCGAGCAAGGGCTGGTTACAAAACAGAGTGGGAAACTGAGAGGAAGTAGGGAGGCAATAGGGTGCAGCCACGGTGTGTAGAACAAGTCTCCTTGGCAGCCCTGGGCATGACTGTGTTCATGAGGGGCAGCACTGATGCAAATCCCAGCCTCCAGCTTCCTGGTTAAATCCTGGCTCCTGTACGACTGGCATCAGCCCAGGGAGACTACTACAGGCTTTGGACCATATGGCTAAGCAGCAGCTCTGCAAAAAAGGACCCAGAATTACATTGGCCAATACACTTAATGAGTCAGCAGCATGCCCTTATTGACAAGAAAAGCTAATGGCAGCAGGGGAGGGGAAGCAAACTGCAGAGGCCTGTTGTCTACTTTAGCAGCATTAAGAGAAATGCTGCCAGTAGACCAAGGGAAGTAATTATTCCCCTCTATTCTGTACTGGTGAGGCCACATCTGGAGTATTGTGCCCAGTTTCGAGCTCCCCACTACAGCAAGGATGTGGACAAGTTGGAGATAGTCCAGTGGAGGAGAAAAAAAAAAAAAAAAAGAGAGATTACGGGGCAGGAGCACATGATGTGTGTGGCAGCTCTAGGGAAATACCGCCCATCAGCACACAATGGCTGCTTCTCTCTTCCCTACAAAAGGTCCTGACTGCTCTGCATTCAGCAGCCAGTTCAGCTGCTATCACCCCAAAATGGAGTGGCTGCCTTGTGAGAGACCTTCCCACACCAGAGGGAAATTTGAAGGGAAACACAGACCACAAGAGAAGGTATTTCATAGAGCAGTCACTCTATTCCTGCTCTGTCTCCCTGCAGCTGCGTTCCCAGACAGCCACAGACACCACCACATATTATTGCATCATGGACAACACAGGGAAGGGAAGGGGCTGCACAGAAAGGGGAAGCAAGCTCTCCCCAGGCAGTCAGGCTACTGCTGGCCTAGAATCACTCTCTTCAGCCATGTAGAGACACAAAGGAGCTTCCCAAGAGGAAGAGCAAAGGGAGAAGCCTATGCTCTTTGCATTACTCCCTTTCTTGCCCTGAGCAGCCATGGCAAGGCTCACACTGCAGCTCTCACTAAAGTATGTATCCATGCAGCCACTGATCAATCTATAAACACCTGACACAGGGACCCAGCCAACAGCATGGACCAAAGTAGGTCTCACTGGAACCAAACTTGGTCTAATATATACAGCCTGCACTGAAGTAGCTAATTAGTTCTTATAGGTGTTTCACAAGGCCAACAGTTAAAGAGCAAGTTAATAGGACCAGCACCAAACACCAAGGCACAGATCAGAGTCACTTGGGAAACAGGAACCCCTCTCTGCTAGGAGGTTTGCACCCATGGGAGAGATTCAGGATGAAGAGGATGGCACCTGAAGATGTGTTGGTACTTGCCTGCAGCTCTTTTTGGAAACAATGATGTTGTCAGGGTCACAGCATCATGGGCAGGATCCAGGAACCGTGTGCACAAACCATCGACACTGAGGGAGCATCAGGTCAGCTGTAAGAAGATAAGAGCACAGGCTGCAGCTCTCAACACAAGTTGTGCACCTACAGAGTGGTTTGGCTTTCCCAGAACAGTTGAAAGGGGCAGAGAGGCTGAAGGGTCATTCTGTGCTTGTGGCAGCTGAACACCAGAACCTCGCCAAGCTCCATTCAGGACATGTCCCATCCAAAGCAGTCTGCCCTGAACACTCACTTGCCTGGTCTTGAAAAGAAAGTGCAGCACTACAGCTACAGTGGGCCATAATATTTCCAGGCACTTGGGGATCTGGGTTCCCCCTTCATTGGAATTGTAAATCACTGGAATTGCATTGCTGTATTGGGGCTGGTTTCTTGAATGAATGGGAGTGAATCCGAGTGTTGTCACTGAGGGTAGTTGCCTGGGGAAGCTTGAGCCCTTTGGCCGAGTTGTACTCATTGCTTCTGTCTGATGGAAACGAGCTTAGAGACCCCAGTGATGCTTGAATGATTGAGTTGCAAACCTGCCACCTCTTTTCATCACAATGGGAACCTACATGCAAATCTAGACTTCAGGACTCCTGGATAAGTACTGCTGTCTTATTCTAGAGGCTTCAGCCACTCCCCAGAGACTGAATTGCTTGCCCCTACCTCCTGGGAGCCAACCCCCATGGAACCAAGGATGAAACTGTTACTCCTTTTCTCCTTTCTGTTATCAGCACCCACATGTGAGTGCCTCTGACAGAAGAGAAAGAAAGAAGGGACAGAGGCAAGAATCCCTGCAGTGACCAATTCTCCCCTTTCTCCACTTTTCCTTTTTTCCAGCTGTCCTCACTCAGGTGCAGGTGGTGGCATCTGGCCCAGGGTTGGTAAAACCTGGAGACATCCTCACCATGACCTGCTCCGTCTCTGGTGTCTCTATTACTGACAGCAGCTATGACTGGCACTGGATCCGGCACCCTCCTGGAAATGTGTTGGAGTGGATGGGACGGATTTACCCAAATAACGGTAATACTAACTATGCTTCGTCTCTGCAGAGCCGAATCATGATTTCTGCAGCTACCTCCAAGAACCAGTTCTTCCTGCAGTTGCACTCCCTGACAGCTGCAGACACAGCCATGTATTACTGTGGAGGACACAGTGACACAGAGCAGGGCAGGGGCTGCACAGAAAGGGGAAGCAGACTGAAGTCTATATAAAAGAACTAGACTAAGTCAGAACACTGCAATTTCCATATGGGAAACCCACAAAAACCCAGGGAAGAAGCTCCCAATCAAGATAAACGTTGAACATCTGAGAGTTCTCATAAAATTACCCAATAGGCTATTATGGAGAACACTGTGAACACTGCAGGCATTTCATTGCAAGACACCCTGGCAGAGATTACAAAAGAAGCACTGTTTTAGATAGCAGAGAGACCTGGGTATCCATATCCACCTGAATGCTCATAGCAGTGCTGTTCCCAACTCCCTTGGGTACTTTAAGAACGCCCAGCTAGGTCTGCCCTAAAGGTGGTACATACTTCGTACTCCAGACTTCTGGATTCACAAAAGTAGTATTTCCTGCAATTGCATTTAGATCAGTATTTTCATAGCCCAAGGCCATTTGGACTCAGGTTTCCCTCTTCCAATTCAGTTGCTCAGGCAAAAAAAAGTGGGTGTTCCTAATTCTCCTCAGCTCTTTGTAATCCTATTGTGACAAAGCCATGTCAAGACCGGTCTCAACATTGGTCAGCTCACCCGTCTAGGGCAGTCCACCCACCTGACTTAGTTACAACAAAGGCTTGGTGGCTAACTAACTAACAAGCTTGCTCACTCTCTCTCTAAGGCAAGTTTCCTTCCCTTGACAACCTCCAGAGACAGAGTGACTTGGTAGCCCTGGCCCTGTGGTTATATATTCCCTGGCCCTACCTCCTTCTGGGCATTTGACTGCCTCCAGGTGCTGGCTAATTATCTCATTAGGCTGGTTGTAAAGCATAGTGGAAAATTGAGAGGGAAGAAAGAAGCAGAAGGGTGAGGACATGACAGGAGGCCTACTGGGAAGCCATGGGCAGGGCTCTGTTCCCCAGGGGCAGTGCTGGTACAAATCCCAGCCCCAGGCTCCCTGGTTAAATACTGCAGGGTTCTGGCACCAGACCAGGGGGACAAACTGGCAACTCTGGGGAGATACTGCCCCTTTCAGCACACAATGGCATCGCTATGGCTGTTTCTCTCCTTCCTCTCCCTCCTCACCCCAGGTCAGTGTCTCAGGGGGATATTCCCTACAATCAATCCCGATTGCTGTTCACTCAGTAGCGAGGAGTTCAGCTGCCCTCACCCACAAATGAAAGATGAGTTGCACTCCATTTCACTCCAGCCTCTCTCTATTTCCAGGTGCCCTGTCCCAAGTACAGCTGATCCAGTCTGGCCAAGGCATGGCAAAGCCTGGAGAGACCCTCACCCTGACCTGCACTGTCTCTGGAGAATCCATCAATACAAGCAGCGAATGGTGGCACTGGATCCAGCAGCCTCAAGCAACAGGGCTGGAGTAGATGGGGATTATTAGTTAAAATGGTGGCACCAACTGCAGTCCTTCCCTGCAGAGCTGAATCCCCATCTCCAGAGACACCTCCAAGGACCAGTTCTCCCTACAGCTGCACTCCCCAACTAATGCAGACACTGCCATGTATTACTGTGCCAGAAAGTCACGGTGACTCAGAGCAGGGCAGGGCCTGTGCAAAAAGGGAAAGCGAGTTCTGTGTAGCAAATCTATCCAAATTCAGACTAACAGCTGTGGCAGAAATGCCACTGTCGGTGCCCCACTCCAGAGATCTGTCTCCACCGGCCTGAGAGGCGGCCGTTGAATCCCTCGCAGCGGGGATCTCGCTCC